TATTTGTGTTTTTGTTTAAATATCTTTTATATAATGTACTCCTTGCAATTTCCAATGAAGTTCAGTTCAATTATTTTTCAGTTTGTTTGTTTTTAGTTTTAAAAGATTACAAATAAGTCTAATTAATTGGTTAAGAGTGTGCTTTTTTTTTCAATTGCTTGTACACGGATTTAATAATATTCATATTACTCGTACACAAGTGATATTAAAAATTTTAGCTAGATAATTTTTTTAAATCTTTTAAATCTATCGTTATAATGATCTACGCTGTTTATATGAGATTTAATTAAGTTTTTGTGTTATTTAAATATTATAATCGACGCGTCATTTGTGTATGCTTAATAGTATATATATATATATATATATATATATATTATCACGGTGACAACGGTTATCATTATATAATAACAATGACAATATTGTATCTAGCATAATAATATGCAAATCCACATTATCCAATATAGTGGAAATGACAAAATTATGCTACCTTTAAAACATGTGGCTTTCTCTATGGTTTCAAGCGTTGCATTATAATAATATTACCAACGGATCAAAGCCACTGTACATAACAACTATAAAAGATAGATCCACCATGACAATAATAATATTAACAACGGTTCTAAATCACACTCATTAGTCATATAATATCGCTGTGATTAAATTTAATTCAATTTCAGTTTGCTGACAGCTGAAAGGTATATTGTAAAATAATTCAAGCTCTAAATTATTAAAGTAACAACATTAATGCACAGAGCACGATTATTTTTTCATAGGTCCCCGAGTAATTAATAAACTTTAGAAAAACACAGTATATAAAAAACCAACCTAAATATATTTTACAACAAAGCTAAAGCGTAAACAATATTTAATCAGCTTGTTGCGGCAGAAACGCGGCTAAAAACTCACAAAATTATTTTTTATCTCTTAAAAGCATGTATTTTGTGATTTATAAATCTACCTATAAAACCCAACTTTATTAATATTTTTAAAATTCTGCGCTCAGAAATGTTTAAAATAAATACCGCCTAAAAATAATTATCAAACAGCATTCTGGTAATATTATTATAGAAATTCTTAAATTTTGACAGTATTGTTTTTTTTTTTAAAATTTATTAGATTTTGTCTTTTTTAGACATTTTTGCATTTAATTAACTAACATATCAAAATCAATAAAAATATCACTGATACATGTACTTAGTTTTATAAATCGTAGTCACCACCGTTCATCTCGGGATAATTTTCAATTAAACAACAAATAATAAGTTATTTTAAATACATATTTATTAACAAAACGAATAGTCTTTTTTTGCAACATAATTTTATTTACCGATTAAAAAAGGAAATCTCTGGATTATTATGACCATTTCACTTGACCTTCGTACGAAATATAAGACAAGTTAAGACTATGGTTATTAGGTATTTTTTATTTTGAAATAATATTATTGGAACAGGTTTGTTTTTTATGGATATCTCGAATGGCCGGACGGATAGTTAGTGGACATCGATAACCGACAATAATATTAAACTTATTACGTTGCTTATAACCGGAATCAAAATTACCGCTTCGTTTAATAAATCAAGTAAAATTATACTTGTTTTCCTTTGTCACCCTAGGTGCTATTGTAGCACTGGTGGAAAATGTCAAAACAGATTCAGTGGCTCGCTGCCGGCAAAATCCCGTGGGAACTAGTCGGTAAACAAATTCCTGATTTGCTATCGCTAGTACTTTTGCATATAATACCCATAAAAACACGGAATGGCACTATCAAAACGTTTTGGCAAGTCGACTGACAGACTGCAGACAAAGTACGATAATTTAAGTGAGATTAAAAACAGCACTTAAGTCTACAAAACCGTTTGGTTATTTCCAATATAATTTTCTACTCGACAACAAAATATAAGTAAAACTAATTCAAAAAAATAATATTCATTACATTTATTTGTTTGATAAAAAATATAGAATTCATTTTCAGTGAAAATTGTCAAATATCCTTTGCTCGAGTAAAAACTATTTGTTTTTTACATTTATTATATATTTTATTTCAGAGAACGCTGTTGTAAAACCGTTTAGAAACCAGAATTAAATTATTGTATCCATGTTTTAGTATTAGAACTCGGTTTTCCGACCGAGTAAAAATAAATAAGGAGAATATTATTATATTATGGGTTTTCTCTGTTGAATATATTTTCTCCGTTTAGGCGATCCCCAGAGTGTTTTGCATTAATCATATCTTTAAGATTTATTCACAAACATGTTTTATGTTTACTTACAAGATTACAAAATGCATGGTAAATACTTTTTTATTCACTACCTTCGTTATGGTTTATCGTTTGTAAATTTAAAAATAGTACTAAATATTATGCTGTTCATTGATGCATGAATCTTATTCTTTATAACCGATAAGTTAATATACTTATAAAATATAATCGGTTTGTTAAAAGGTTTTATGTCTTTTTCAGTTCTTATAATAGTTAAAAACACTGTGTTCTGTCCCAACTGTGTTGGTTTTCCTCGCAAAATCGTTAATTGTTTAGTATTATATTCGTTATACATTACACCAACGGATGGTTTTAACTATTATAATACAATTTTTTTTGTTTCGAGATAAAGATTAAAATGTTCTTTTCTTTTAAGAACACTCAATTAATCATTTGACTTGGAATACTCGTGGCACTATTTTAAGATGTACCGGTACGTTTCTTTAGTAAAATAAATGCTACTAAAAATATACACCAAAAATATTATTTACACGTCTCCATTAATAATTTCCTGTTTGTACTTATTTCCTCTTTTCGCTATTCACTTTTCAGCGTGGCCAAATAAAATCCCCTCGTTTATTTTTTGCTCTATTCTTAACTCTGGTCTATTTTACTTTTCTTACACATCTTTTTACGCTTTGTTCAGCTCCATACATCTTCTTTGCAAAAGCTAATCCCGCTATGGTTTCGTTATTGACCTTTCTGACACAAAGTCGTATTGATTTTCCACAACGCCAGTGTCAACACCTACCTGTATCTACCTGTTTCACCACAACACTTCACCGTATGATTCATTAATTTCGAACCTCCATAAATGCCTTTTTCTTGTTTACCTCTTTTAACCCAAAGTTAAGATGTAGGTACAGCTCGTTTAAATATTCATCATGTCCCCCGCATCGCCGCACAATAGGTTATTGAATACCTGCAACCGGGTGGTGGCTTTGTGACGCAAACAAAAGGACTAAAGTCACAGTCTACCATGTTGGAAGAAAAGAAAATACCGTTTAATATATCAAGGGTAACAGTATCTTGTACCAGTAATACTTTAAGATTATGGATAAAAACTTATTTTACCATGTGGACTACCAACCGATCAACATAATGAATACTTTTCATTTCTCTTATGTGGTCATACTGGTTTTAGTCCTTTCGTTTACTTCACTATTGCATACAAGCTCTAATCTCATACACTTCCTACAGTATTACCCTTGGAATAACTTTATTCAAAAATGAATTATAATGTACTTGCAATCGCTTCATATCGTTTCAATCGTTAAAACTTTATTTCTAGATCCAAAAAAAAAATATAATATATATATATATATATATATAAATCAAATAATAAATCAAACAAAAAATAGTTTATTGTTGTTAAAGCTAAAAAATATGAAATAACTGTATATTCTTTAGCTACTTTAAAACCATTGTTCGTGGTAAATTTACCAGTAACGATAAGAAGTTATCGCATCAATATAATATTAATAATTTTTTTACGACGAAACTTCTTGTATTTTTGTTGTATTAAAAAAAAAACAAGACTCCAAATCGTTTTTTTTTTGTATGTCTATACTATTTTATTGTCTAATATATAATATAATGACAAAAAAAGCGTTTCGAGCAAACGAGTTAAAAAGCCAACGAGTTTAAAATCTGTAGTACCAAAAAATAAAAAAATTGTGCACCTTCGATGATGCAAAAACTGAGCACAATACAAATTTTGATGTCTATTGGTATTGTAAATATTTTGTAAATTTTGCTAAACATTAAAAAGAACCATATTTTTAAAAGAAATGAAATAATCAATTTTTTTTCAAATGTGGACAAAGTTTATGCTTGACTTAAGCGATTTTATCAGTTTTGTACTCAACTTGGTCAACAAGTACCCAAAACCTAACCCAAGTTTTACAGCTGTTAGGTGTGTTAGGATGCCGTTATACCCCCTATCTATTAAGGAGTTAAGTATAGGCAATTTTTTGTAAAATCGTAATTTTAAGGCTAAACTGTGATGTTTTATTATTAGTTAAGTAATCTTGACTCTTTTTTGGTAGTTTATTTATTTGTGCGAAATGTCACAGCATCCTTGACAGCGATTTTAAAAAAAAAATTTCATCTAAACTGGCTACGCATATTCTCTTTTATCTACTAAATAACAATCTTAGACAATTTTTTTTTTACGTATTTAAAATAATAAGAACTTTATCTAGGTTCTCTCGTCGGCTTTTTTGATATTATTTACCCAACATTCACAATTTATATTTTAATTCTGAAATTTTTAAAAAGTGTTTAAGTGCTCGTATTTATGGTAAAATTTAAGTTTTTCATAAAAACTGTCGAGAGAACCTAGTTAAAGTTTTTTTCTTTTTAACGGTACCAATATTTTTATTCTATGACGAATTCGCTTTCACCTACACGCTCTACCGTAAACCCCTTTTTTACAATTATTTTTAAAGGGTATAACGTCCTCTTAATCGTGCAAATGAATATTGTTTATCGTTGGATGTGTTTTAAAATAAAGGCGGTCAATAATAAATCACCGAGTATCAATTGCTTCAAAATGTCGTCGTGTTCGACTTAACTCCCTGCTGTTTTGACTTAACGTTATGTAATATATAATATGGGGTAACACAAGTGTAATGGCATAAAGTTTAATTATGTTACACGGGGTGGTGTGTCACGATGACCTGTTGGATCTTCGTGGCACACCCTGTTAAACTCAATAATATCAAGTGCAAGAGCATTACCTGAGATGGTTCCTTGGCACGTTTTGTATGTCTTTGTACACCATGTGCAAACGGACTGTTTCCGATTGACAGTCGCTTCTGATGGACCAAGCATGCTTATCTCTGTCATAACATTGGGTCTTTGTAGGAGAAGCCACTACACTGCCAGTAGACGAAGATGACATCCCATGGCCACCTGATACGACGATGCTCGATATTACTTCACTCAGCGTGTTGGCCAATACCATTTCCAGGTGCACTCTGATTGTGCCCTAAACGAAAAGGCAAGTCAATTTGAGCAAGTAATGTATGTGTCGAATAATAAGCCACTAATATTGTTACTAATTAATGATAATGTTAAGATACACCATCTGGTGTTTGATTCTGCGACTATTGACTATTCTCCAGCTGAACTTAACATAAGTTTAGATTAGCATAACTTTGCTCATCTAATAGGTAATATTGTTATTTCATCACTTATGTATATTGTGGTATTTTGTAATTGTGTATTTAGTACAGTATGTTTCATGTAAGCAAATTAATTCATACAATTGTGTGTTGAGTTTATTTTATTATAATTTCGCGTGTAATTGATTCGAATAATATAATTGCTACTTTAAAAATTACACCGTTCAAAGTTTAATCATTACGTTGTTGTTATTAAAATACAAATTTTTTTGTATTTTAATTAGTCAAATAATTTCTCATTGAAATAACGTTACTTGTAACTTATTCAAGCAAAAACATTATCTAATTATTTCAATTATTACGTTATTTTATTTGCTTATAATTAGTTAATCAAATGTTTTACAACTCTTTAGTGCAATTAGCTAATTGACATATCTATTTCCAGTTAAGTTCAAAGCAGTTACTTTTAGTTTTGTAATCTTCAAATTAAATAATTTTTTTCGATCAATTAAAATTTTAAAATTTACTTTTCATAAATGGTTTTTTTTTTTTTGAGAGTCAAGGGAAGACACTTTTTTTAAAATAAATACCGAATAGTTTAACTCGAAAAAAATTACTAGTAATTAAATTATACTTCTATCCCGAAAATTGCATTTTAAAGTTTAAATAATAGAATAAGATTTAGTATTTAAACAATTTCATTAGAATAATACAAAAAAAAACCTTTTATACCGAACGAAAAACAATTTGTATTTGTTAATTAATATTAAAATAGAATATAATAAAATAATTATTTATACAACACATTTTCAACCGTAACAATATCCACGTTCTTTTCGGTTATGACCCATTAAAGTTATGAAGGTTTTTTGTACATATTAGGATGAAGGAGTCCGTTGTATAAATTTTTATCCCTGCGGGGTCCCTAACGACTAGACAACAAGTAGTAAAATCAATAAAAAAAGTTACACCACTATGATGAAACTAGACCAAGAAGCAAAGAAAAAATATAACACTATTTTGTCGAAGAAGAACACATATTGTTATATATTATATTTAATGCAACGTACGAGATTAGTTTTATGGAAAAGATAAAAGCCTTAATTTGTGATGTGAAAATGTCAACAATATTGTATTGGGAGGGAAATACATTTTATTAACAAATACATGTTGGAAACAAAATTGTTTTGAATTATAAATAGTAATCATTTCGTGTCACAATTCAATTCACACAAAAGAAATCAAAAAGAGTCATATTTTTTTATGTCCACCATGTTCATTCCGGGACTTAATATAAACACTTCATACATTTTTCATATAATATAATGAATTCCAAATGAAATAATAATAATAACGAAAACAAAAGTTAGGGATGTGCGTTCTATTCGGTGGGCGGGTGAATATAAATTGTTACAAAAAAAAAAAAAGAAAGAAAAATATATTATGTCTTATAACTTATTTAATTAAAAACTATCTTTCGTATTAAGAATCTTATTTTTTTACTCATTAACTGATTAACATCAGTTAATGGTAAACTGGAAATGTACAAAAAAAATATATATGTCAAAACTTCTTAAAAATTAAATTACATGTAAAAAATGCAAACACAGTAATGCTTTGAGCTTGTAAAAGTCGATTTGATTTTATAATTAAAAAAAATAATAAACACTTCAATGCAAATCTATGGAAAATATTTTTAAAAAATCTACTCCATATCTATTATAAAAAAATTATCATTGTAAAAAGTTATTTCTTTTATTATTAAATGACTTTTGATTTTTTCCCGTACAATTTTTAACCTAACCTAACCAATTAAAAATTTGACCTACTTTATAATAATAAAACACTAACAACTATTTGAAGAGAAACGTAGATTGTAAAAGCAAACATATGTGTTTGTATAGAAATAGCGTTTTTCAGATTCTTTTAGTGGAAATTAATACAGTGATCCAAGCTATGAATAAGTAGGTATATTATTTTAACAGGTAATTTTTATTTTATTTTAAGAATTCGTTTTACACTTTCGAATTTTTCATCACTAGCCTATCTTAAGTAAAAAATTATGTCTATAGCTTTGGAAAAAAAGTTTTTTATCATTATTTCCACACAGCGATTATATGTATAATGAATTGTAAAATATTTTTCTATAATTTCCTAATGTTATTTCAATCATATTTTGACATTATATCAAATATCGTGACAACATAAATAGTTAAATAACATTTCCTAAGTACTATACGTCTAAAAATGATACAGGGTTATTTTCAAAACCTTGAAAAAATGTTGTCACACGAGAAATTTGAATTTAGCATAGGTAGTAAAATAATAGATAGGCTCAAGATTTTTTACTAAAACCAACATAAAATATTTTCCGGTCTCCGGGCTTACAGCATGCTGCAGACCCTTCACCTTTGCCAGAAAGAGACAGAGACATAATTCCATGGAAAAATAACTGTGTTTCACCCATGGCCATTCCGGACCGCTGACCCCGTTTTTATATAGTGTTTTGGTCTAGGTAATCCATTGTTTTATTATCTTTTAGAATTTAGCTGTAACTGATTATTTTTTTTTTTTTTCAAGAAATCCTATCAACAACGCTAGTATGTGTGTGTGGTGGGGGCAGAAAATCTCTCCATAACGTTTAAATTAATAAAAATTGCCACGTGCTTGAACTAATAGTCACACCATTGGTAGTGTTCGATACTTGTTTTGTTTGTTACTTACTTTGACGACAAGTTCGGAAAACTTGTATCTCGGGTGCCAACCGTAGCTCTTGCCGTCCGAGTCGGATACGTCGTCCAGCACACCGGAGTCAAGTCGTTTTGCTCCATCGCCAAGTACTAACATGTACCGGACACGGCACTGATGGTCAAACCCGGTGCACCTGTTCAAGTAAACCGACACACGTCCTTCGGTGGAAGTACCTAAGGGGATAAGGGGAACAAAAAAAAAAACCAGCGTGAGACAAGCATATTAAAAAAAATAATAATAATTACTTATATGACAGAATATGATAAAATTACATCATGACAAAAAAACATTTAAAAACAAAAAGTACACAAGTATATAATATTATACAAACACATTGCTTATTCAAATAATCTAATTAGAAAATTTGTCGAATATAAAATTATCTGTTAACGTGTATTTATGTATTTATGTTTCACCGTTTTCCTGAAACTGTATTCTCAAAACAGTGGTAAAAAACAGCTGATTAGAGATGCTGATAAAGGATTAGTGATAAGAGACAGATGATAATTGGTCCTGATAAGAAATCAGCGACAAACACACACACATATATTTATATATGGATTATAAAAACTAAGTTGCTAACTATTGATAAGAATCGAAGGCGACGTCGGCCATTTTTGTGGGATTTATGTGTGTATAAAATAATACATCTGTGATTCTGTGCTATCAACTTAAATTGTAACTGTTATAAACACGTGATAAGGCTCTTATTCTCACAAAGATGGCGGAAAATGGTAACTTCAATTATCTCTATTGACGGCATGTATACCTACTTGGCTATATAGTTTATAATAATATATATATATGACCTAACCTTCTGTGGTTTATCAAATATATCAAGGTGTTATATCATTAGCTAACCTAACATTTTAATATATGTATCATGAAAAAGTAACGTAGCACATTTACTTTCCATGAAATTGGTACACAAAATGGCTGCCTATCAACATCCGTAAACAGCTCTTTCTTATCACTGTCGGGAAAACGACAACGCAAAAATTTTTGGTTTTTCTTATTTCCATTAACAAAATTCATATATAAATTTATATGTACATATTTATAATTGTATTCGAAATCAGAAAAATTCTCCGCCCTTTTTGATATAGTCCCATTGGATTAGACCCTTCACTGTTCACAAGTATTGTAGCAACAAGCGTGCCAGAAAATTATTACAGTTCTGCAATAAATAAATGTGTACTTTGAACATAATAAACTTTAAGAGTATGCTCGTGTTCAGTGTCGTCATTTTAATATAATGTGTGTGATTTACAGTGCAGAGTTGTTTGTGATGTTTTATTTCAATAAAATGTTATTTGAGATTGAACTGAATCGTTTTACAATTATATTTCTTTTTCAAGACCTACGTTGATATATTACATCGGAAATTGTTCTCAAAAGGAATTTTTTAGGCCGAGAATTGAAAAATGTCATTCTATTTCTTTTAAAGTTTAAAAAAAAAACTCTCAAGTTTGACACGTTATTCAAATTTCAATTTCTAAACACTATTACTTTCTAAAAATAGCTGAAATGGCTCCAATTTTCTTTGGGATATTCTTCACGTTATTTTCTCATAAAAGTCAGAATTTTTTTTTTTAGGTCCAAAAAACTCTAAATGCTCGTTTTTTCCTCCCATATTATATTTATATTGCATAAGACACATTATACGGCTAAAACGTTAAACTTACTTAACAATACAATAAAAATAATATTTTAAAATTCTATGTTGAATGTAAATTAAGTGTTGTAAAGTAATGGATGTTTGCTAAAGAATGAAAAAAAGCTAAACCATTAGATAAAAACGTTTAGAAAAAGTATATTATAATGTTACTTGAGTGTTATCGAAAGACTCATTTCCAAGAAAGTGTATTAAAACATATTTTATAATACTGATTTTCATTTATGAATAGTAATTTTCAGCCTGCTTTTTAAAATATTTTTTTAATAATCCTATAAGCTATAACCAGTAAAATCTTCTACTTGGCATTCAATTGCTATATTAATATTTTTAATACTTGATTTAAACGGATATTATCTTTTGAATAAATACTGCAAAATATAAACATCTTCATCGGTTCTACTTGAAAATCTTATTAAACTTGTAAAATAAAAAAAAGGATTTTTAGCAATTAAATAAAGTATTTAATTTATAATGCAAAAACTGGCGACGAAGAAGTTGATTGCCCACTATAAAATACTATTGTAATGTAAATTTACTGAGGAAAATAAATTAAAAATAATAAAAGATACTACTATGAAATGATAAACGTTTACTGATATATCATATACTGCGTTCAAAGTTCAATACTCATTGCCAAAATGAACATAGACATTTTCAAGCTAGGAATAGTAGACAATCTTTTATACATAGATTAGGTTAGGCAGAGGGACTGTATATTGGTAACGGTAGTATAAAAATTACTATGATAAAAAAAATAACTGAATAGGCGGACGAGGAAGCATGTAAGACCAAGAAAATTCTAAAAAACAGACCATATCAAGTATGAGGGGAAATTCCAACAAATAAACTACCTAATAAAGCAAGTAGTTATGGATAGACAAGATTGGATAATCATTTAATAAATATTAGGATTGAAAAAATAATGTTAGATCAATTTGTTTATGTCATGGAATTTTCTAAAACACTATGTATTTGATAACAATAAAAAATTTTCACGAATAAAATTACTTGGGAAAAACAATTATTCGAATGAGTGAAAACGGTATCATTAATCGTAGGTAATAGTATCTTGAAAAAAACAAAAATTTTTTAAGATAAGGGGTAAAAATGTTTTTCATCATACAGAGTACCAATCGCTTAACAATGTGAATTTTAAATAAGATTGAATTTAAATAAGATAATATGCAGTATTGTAAACAAACTGCCTTAATTCGTATCAGTTCAGGACCGCAAAAATATAGTGGCCTCAATTGGGAATGTCCTACCCATATTTATATTATCAATGGTTTACACTGAAAGTGAGAGCCTTCTTCGCGTTTATGATAACAGTCTGATTATCAGCACTGATAACCCGGCTGTTATCATAAACGCGACTGAACATGTAACAAGGAACATCGGTGAAATAATAACAAGTTTCATGATTTGCCCACGAGGAGCGCTAGCAGTATCTTATTTTTTTAAAATATTTTTCATAGGTAATAAAAACACGGTTAGGACACCACGTGTTATCAGCGATCATCAAACGTTACAGAATTGAGGTAAAAAAACGGCCTCGGTTTCTTATCAGTTCAGGACCGCAAAAATATAGTGGCCTCAAATGGAAACACGTCCTATCCATGTGTTTTTATTATCTATGATATTTTTTTAGATAAGAACTATTTTGACCGTTTTTTCACGGTTCGTTATACTTACACGAAGCGTCTTTGACGCCGTGCGGGTACAGCGCCAGGTTCCAGTCGAACCCGCCAAACGTGAAGTAAGTAGTCTCCAGTTTGCATTTGGCCCCTCTTGGCGACGCGGTACCGTACTGGTGCTGGAGCGCGTTACTGGCCGCCGAGTTGTGGTGGTTCTGGATCTGATGGTGGTGGTGCAGCAGCCGCGAAGTCAGCGAGGCCGGCACCCGGAACTCCGTGTCGTACAGCGTGCGCACGTTGCCTATGGACAGCTCTAGCTGGAACTCGCCGTTCGCATCGGTGAAGTTCCTGCCGTACAGGTCACTGACCGGTATGTAGTTCCTGTTGCCTTGCGCCGGGCAGTCTGTCGTGAACTTCACCTGGGAACACGCAAAACGGAAGCACACTTGAGTCTCTTTACTTGTTTGAGATAGGTACAGCCCAGGTACAGCAATCTAGGGGCATAGCTTTTGGAAAACCTTAGGGGTGTGCAAAAAAAAAATTATGAACTGAATCGAAAAGTGTAAAACGTGGAAAATTAATCGAATAAAACTCATTATCATTTTACATTTGCACTTAAAAATAGGGGTTTAATGCCGGGCTTAGAATGTATTAGTTTCCAATGATGTGTTTTTATTTTCCCTCCATTTTTGTGGCTGGGTCTATGGTGAATATTTTACCAGTGGACAGTTTTTTCATTGAGCAAGTCTTTAGATTAGAAATCATAACAAAACATACTTTATAAGGTCAAAAATTAAAAAAAGTTTACCTCTTGCGAATACCAAGAAAACCCTTTTAAATATGTATGAGTACACATTTTTTATATTATCTGATAATTATAGCTCACTATACAATAAAAAACTCTTTAAATACAAATTTTTATTTTACATAAAAATGATGTGACCATCAATTATGGTGGTTAGTACGTTTTGTAGATTTAAAATGAAAAATACATTAAATGTAATATTTTTTTCAATCATTTTAAAACGATTCACTGCCACTGTCGTTATGGCGTCTCTCGAGTATTCCTGGTATCCTTATTAAATTCTCCCGTTTTTATTCAAAAGTTCTCCATTCGTTTTAAAAATATGTCACATAATTATTTTACTCTATCCACAAACGCTGTATAAAGTTTGTTTCTCTTCGGTTCAGGTCACGTCGGAAATCCTATGAAATACTTGGCCGTTAGGTCTACTCTTTGTTTTCTTTTCAGTAAAAATCCGTTAATCTGACTTTCATCCACTCCAGTTGTCAACTTATCGGATCCTCATATTTTCATTTACAGGTTTTTTAATCTACGTGAATCTTTTATCATTTTCCGGTATCTCAAAATGACATTTTATCAATATCCGGGTTCATTGCCCTGCACCTCTTGTAAACATTTCCGTTATCTTCTATCCCGAAACCTTTAGTCCTCCAAGATTATCCGTTCCATAAATAATTGTTTACTTTTCACAAGCTTTCAAATTGAATGCAATCTTTTCTTTGAATATATTTTATCGTTTAGTTGGAATACAATTTATTTGTAAAATTTAATGTTTAACATAGTATAACGCAAGTCCAACGTGTCAACTAACAGTGTGTGTTAATGTCATCAGAAATGTATTCATCCGAGACGTTTAGAGTTCAAAGGGGGAGTGAAAAAAATGTTATGAAAAATATGTAATAAATCTTTGAACTCTACTAAAAGTCACTAATGAACAACTTTTGATTGGATTAATGTTTTTCCAGGAAAATCTATAAGTATTTGAAAATGGGACACCCGGTATAGTAGAATAAAAAGCTTAGTATCCCATTTGTAAGTGCTTTATAATGATATCAAAATGAATATAATATTTCTGGCGTCCTTCTGAAATATCTAATTTTAACGCCTTGCGTTAACACAACCTCACTATGGAATAAAACAAATTTACATTCATAGTTTATAAATAGAATACACCTACAATTATTATATGAATAAATGATATAAAGTTGACAAATAAACCGTGTTACGCGTAGGGTCGATAAAAATAGTGTACTTATCTACTTAAATAATAGTATACTACTAATAATAAACTTAAATATGTTCTATAATTGACTTTTTAAAATTTTATGCTTACGTTGGAATTTGTTTATTAAAAGCTGTCAACGAGAAGAGTGTCGTCAAAATATTGGCGTACAACACAATTATTATTATGTTCGAGTGCATAATATTCTATATCACTTTAAAACGACCTACCGAGACACGGGAGACGTATAAGAAGTTAATTAAATATGACAGTGACTTGTTGTCAAAAATACAAGCCCGTGTGATCCGGACTCCCGGGGTTAAGCCCAAAGCGTGTGCTCCACATAATATTGGCCCCACTAACCGAGTTCTATGTGAAACAAATTACAATTTTTTTTCAAAATAAATACCACAAAAACATTTTTTCTAATTAATTCGTTTGATCCCATTTGAGTTTTAATGGAAAACTGTCGCAGCAAACGAGTGGGAAGATTTTAATTATTTTTATTTTTATTGCTGACAAAAATTTGAATTTTGTTATTTTCGTCGAATGAAAAAACACTAAACAGGCACGTGTAAAATATGTACACTGTGAGCAATATATTTTGTATGTCACGTAAAATATCAACAATTCAGCAAAAAAAAATGGTCCTTACATAAATAATTTAATAATATGTAAATACAATTATTTAACATCGCGGTGGGTAAGCTGTTAAAAAAAAAAATCAAATCATTCGATAAACCACGCCATTTTGCCAAAATATGTTAACTTGAAATTTTGAATTTCGATGCAAAAATACAAACACACAAGTCGATTTGTAACGTTAATTAATTTTTTGCAAATTAAATTTAATTCAGAGTTTTAATTTTAGCCGCACTGACAGTTAAGTGTATAATTAAATTTCAATAATTGAGTGATGAAATTCACAAATTCACATAACTTCTGGCCTTTTTTAGATTGAAATTGTTTTTCATTTTAATGGCCAATCATTCAATCATTGCTTTACAAAAAAAATCACTTACAAGATACAAAGAGTATAATATGTTACCGAAAAAAAAAGAAAAAGATTTGATTGATATACTGTTACTGAAACTAGATGTATTTTACTTAAAGAATAGGTCAAATGATGTTGTGCAGTGTTGTTATTACACAAGTTATAAAGTAAGCTCTATTGACACTATTTTAACGCACCACTTGCCTCTCGTTTCACGATTTGTATCAGTGTTTATTATTTTTTTACTTATACTAAAAATATGTATGAAGCCAGAACTTGTCGGTTGAACTCGATTTAACAATATTGTTGGCATAAAAAGTTTGCTACTGTTCTCGTTATGGCACGTGCGAGGCGTTATAGGTTACTTTACACGGCCGACAGCTTTTTGCCACACCATTCGACTTTGTTCGTTCAGTTTTTTCGGTCTAGTAGTTTTCCAATTTCGAGTAAAAACTAAGTAATTTCACACACCCATTTTATCCTGAAAACATATTAGTATACTGGTATAATAATAGTTTTGCCGTCAGTAACCACTCTTCACAATCATATTATATTTTCTATTTAATCATTTACAATGATGTCTATAACTGGCTTGTAAATTATGTTCGGTTAAACTGCTGATAATTTGTGATTAATATATTTTTCTGCTCAAAAGAAATCGACTTTTATCATTTGTCTGATATAATATTTTCTAGTTTTATTCCTACTCGCCGAATACTCGATGACTTGTATATAGTTGTATCCTATTATCACAATGTAAACCGAACGTACTGTGACCTCTTGTCAGACCTTATCCTTTGATCCCTTGATCCTGGATCCGATGCCAAGGTTGATTGCACAGCCGGGGAGTGAAAAAGGTTTGTACTGTATATATATATATATATATAAGGTAAAACGTGCTCATCTACTGTATTTCTCTAGATAACATTATATTATTATTATTTGTTTGTTTACGACCCCCTTTGGCATGTCCTATATTATTCTAATGATGGATGCACACGGTTTTGTGGTTAATGGTCAAAGTGACCTGTCGACCGGATAACTACATGCATCGAATAATTCCTACCGGGATATTCCCCCGGGACTGATGTTGTTGCCACCGGAAAACACGAGGCGTTGGGGAAATTCGTTTTTGGGTCGATTGGCGTATAGCGGATGGAACCTTGCAATGGTGATGGTGGTGGACCGCAAATCGAGGCTTACTTCCGGTTTAAATAATACATTTAATGTGCTTTACCGACAGAATTATTCAAGTAGGGCAAACACTGGATATATATATATATATATATAAATGTATATATATTTAGTAGATAAAGTATGCCATCCTATCCTATCCTTTCTTTATTCGGAGTGATCCGTTTAACGCGAGATTGAAATTGAAAGGATGGAGTTAATAATTAAAAAAAAAAAAAACATGTATAAAATTGTTATTATTTCCCTAGCAAATGAGAATCGTGCGTTAAAAGGATCGCCCTCTGTTCATTCGTTTAATGTTTTCATTGTAATAAACACCAACACTTCAAGACCGATTGTCGAACAGTGGTTTATATAATGATAGCCACAACGAATCTATCGGTTTTGGCACTAGAGTATGTTCACTCAATGATATATGTCGATGTACATAAATTATAATATTATCTAACAGTTCATTAGTATACACGTGTATTGAATTTTCGATAAACGTTAAATGATTAGAAATTCGTTTTTTCTGCATATAATCAAAAAGCAATATTAAAAAGCTTTTTGCCGTTGAGCTATAGTGACCTATAAAAAATAATTATAAAGCAACTGTCACTGAGAAAACTGTCGTGGTGATTTAACATACAGTCGCCTACATTATAATATTATAGATAGGTTATCTTGTCAAAGGCGCTAAATTTGGATTTACTATACTCTTGCTTTTTATTACTTTCATATTTTCTAATTCAACCCCAAGAGTCACTTTGGGTATAAGTATTAATACTCGGTGTTGATAATTTAAGAGGACCATGCCATAAAATCAACTACGATCAGGATATAATAATATGACCAATGGCGCACACAATAATGGGGTCAGGGGTAGCAGATGGTACCTATGCCGAAAGTTGCACATATTATAATTTATTATTATAGGCTTGTATAAAGGTTAATCGGTAGGAGGGTAGACACTGAATATTAAGCTGGAACCCGAGTTTTATGTTAAGCGCGGCCGCCTGTTTATGACTAAATTTGTCGACTGGTTTAAATAAAAAATATACATAAATTATTCGTCATTAAAACGCCTTGTAACGTCAATATCGTAACCCTCTATCGCCGCCCAGAGTTATTTAAGTTAATGAATTGTTCAATTTTCTTAGCTTCGATACGGATTGTTTTTTTTTTTATAACGATGTGGTTTGTCCGAGAACAAGATAACTTGTATCCAGTTAACCGATTTACCAGAGTAGCATCTTAACCGATCAGTAGTTGAAAATAAAACCTAGTTATTTTCTCCGCTCCACTGAAAAACATTGAATCATGGATATGTTATCACTTATATATTATCACTCATATCTTATCTCTAATCTCTTATCAATTTTCGCTTATCTCTAATCTATTAACTTTTTAAAATACTTTAAATATTTTAAAATGGCGACATGAAATTTCTTGCATCCAACTCGATAACAAATCCGTGCTAAAAATTCAACTCCGTCGCCTCTAAGCCAGTGGAAAACCCATTGAAAAATCAGCCGAAATGTTTGACAGTAGCACTTTGAGATATTTTAATAACTGTATTTTAAGTCATCCCTTCACGAAAATCATCTGTTAAGCAATCGCCGAGTTCACCTTTTTTTTTTTTTTTTTATAATACCCCAAACAAAAATTCAACCGCAAATGGTTAATTTAAAACTCGTGTTGTAATAACGTTGCACGCGAGACTTAAGCATAAAGGCATTTTCTCGTTTTTATCGTAATCCTACTATATACTTGCTCGTACAAAACGCTGTTGGTTACAGAATTGGATTACATTATTTTATTTTTATTACACAATGAGAAAATCTCGCACAGGTAATAACATGAACGCGCGTTACTTTAATTGCGTTACGCGTCGAGTGTATTACAATATACATATTGACTTTAATTAAACTCTGGAATATAGTTTGGACAGTACGGAAATAAATTAAAAAAAAAAACAAATATCCTCCGAGTATTAAAAAATAACACCCAATCACTCAACGCCGTCAATCTTGATTGCAATAGTTTAATTAATGGCCGTTTCATTCAGGTAGGATTCCAATTACACATTAAACAACGCCTTGTACATTTACCTTCTGTGCATTACAAATGGGGCAAGTTCACACTCGCATAAAAGCTGATTAATATTATTTTATTCTTCGATCTGTCTTTGCATTAACCGAATGACGGCCACCAACATCGGTATAGGATTTTCAATGCGCCAACGAAACAGTAATTATATACAGTCTGAGTATAAGCTTACAACTATTCAAGTTTGTACGGCCGTTTGAAGTTTATTAATTAATAGAAGTACAAATGTAAAAGGTTAAACAGGCTCGACACAGTGTGTTCTTTTTCAAATGTACTAAATACAGCTAATTATTGTACAACGCTGAAACAATTGGCAAAATTCAAGTTTATGATAAATTAGTATAAGACTTTTCTATGCTGAACTTTATACCGCAATAAAATATTAGATACACCGTCGTATAATTGTATTATAAAAAAAATCAAATGAAAGTTTCAAAGAATATACAAAATAATTCATAAAGTTTTCGGCGGTGCGTAATGTTTTTATGATGACATTGTGGACTTAATATTTGATTTTCCTTTGTGTACTTTAGTGTGTTATGTAATGTATGGCCAACAGGGCAATGTCAGGGGCGCACACGCCAAAAGTTTTACCATATAATATTACAGCGCTGATACTTACATTTCGTAACCATCTGAATTTAAAGTACAATTTCGCAAAACGCCAAAAGCCACTTACGATTTGTTTGATTTCTTCAAAACTTTCCGAAAAGCTTTATAATTTTGGTACGTTAATTGTATATTAAACTGATTTGTTATGAAGTTTATGTAACATCTAAGTAAACCAACCAACAAATATAAACAGAAAAACTCGTTATTTCGAGATAAAGCTATGCGCGTTAAAGAGTGAAATGTTCTTATTGTTCGAAGTTTTTTTAGTCTTAAAACTAGGTTAGTTTTTGATTTGTTTGACGGGTTTTTTTTTTTAATAAATATAAGATTTTTCACCCAATATTAAATGACATAAACAGGTTATGTTAAACTCGAAAGTTGAAAAAGTTAATCGTTTCCGTCAAAATTCAAAAAAAAAAACTTCCACATTTTTAGACTTACCAAGTTTCAACTTTGACTCGCTATAATTTTACGGCCAATGTTCAATATGAAAAAGTTTAAATTGGTTTTTAGATAAACTTCAATCGAATAACAAAGGGTATTTATAGTAGTAGGTAGGTAAGTGTGGAATTTTTTGATAGTTTTCAGATTATAGTCCTGAAAATTAATTTCGAAATATACCTGAAGTTATAAGATTGGACATTTAACAATTAAGTCAAAATGTAACAAACAAAAATCACCATGAGCCAATTGAATGCGATTATTATGTTAAGTGTTGCCGTTATAGTTTTTATCGATTTTTTATTATGTTTTTTCATTTGATGACTATAAATTTGACCTGATATTTATTCAAGTCAAAATTTAATATGTCCATAACAGCAGTGATAGCGGTAAAACAGTGTCTTATATCTTGTCTTATGTGTTGGTTAGTATTTCAAATATTTTTCGTCATTAATTATGAAAATAACTAGTCGTAGTGTGAATTCATTAAAATAAATCTTATCAGTATTAAGCGATCGAGTGTTGCGTTTATAAATAGAATGTGTAAAATATCGACTACAAAAATATTGTTCCTGGTACTTGGAGTATGCTAAAACTGTAGGGAATTTTAAAATGGACATTACAAAAAAACTACATGTCAAGTATTTGTGTTCGTTGCTTATTATGTTACTTTTTAATGTATTTGAAAACCAATTAAATTACATTCTTTTAATAAATTCCTCGATTTCTTAAACACTTTTTGTACGAAAGTATTTGTATTTAAATAAAAATGTATAAGTATTTTTTTACAAAATCGCTTGCGAGGTAGACTTTTTTAGTCAGATCTAGACATAATCGACCTAAGACCTAAAGTCTTAGGTGTTTGATTAGAACGTTCCAAAAAGTTAGAATTTTAGATTTAATTGTCTTACCGGAAAATTGATCAATTTTCACGATTAATTTAATGTTGCTATAGTTGCTTTCGCGAAAACTGGCCCCTGACTGTAACGCACCTAGCGGTTAAGTCTTGTCAAGGGTTATCAACGCGGTACTATCGACGGCTGTCCGTTAGTCCTCTGTTGCCAGCGGAAATCCCACATAGAACCGGTCGCCGTTTTTGTGTATAGCACCGCTAATCAGTATATTATTCTAAGACCGATGGTACGGTTTACGCTTTTAAATTTGACTTTATTAATATATTAATCGTGTAAATATAAAATGATAAATGTAAGAAATAGAACGAAAAAAACCGGGTTAAACGAAAATATCACAACGCATTAGTTCTGACCAATGAGGGAGGGCGGCGTCATCGTCGCCCGACCAATGGGAGTATTCGACGTGGCCACGCCCCCGCCAATCAACGGCGTGCCTGCATTGGCGCGAGACTATATAAAGCGGTCGACACGAGCTCAGACACCAGTCTCTTGTAGAGAAGCATTCTGAACACCTCAACTACATTAACATATTAGTATCAACAGGTACCGTGGAAAACGACTTACTTGTTTGCCGGCGAACGACTCGTTGACGCTGAAGTGTTCGCGATTGAGTATGGTAAACGTAAAGTCCACGTAAACGCGAACCGATTCTGACGCGGTTTTCCACACGAGGTACGCCCCCAACATTTTCTCGGTCCGGGAGAACGTAATTGACCATTTCTGGTGACCGCAGGCAAACTCCTTGGATGTAACGTCCCGATCCGGGTCCCTCGTCACTGATTTGGTGACCACAAACGTGAAAACGTGGGTCTGTACGCGGTCCGGTAGCTTAACTAATCTGTACAACAACGCCATGGTCGACCGATGATCGCATTACTCAACCTGCAAAAAAATTAATAAAATGAAAATTAGTTATTTTTGGGTTTATTGACACGTGTATCCCGGTGGCCGATCTGAGGTTTGCTTGGACATTTTCACATCACAAAGTCTACTACGGAAATGTAACCTAGTTATTATTGTGACTATACTAATATTAGTAATATATTAACTCAATTTATTTATTCGTTCACTCGATTGCAGTTGTGTGTTGTATTGTATTTCTGTTTTTTACGATGGAAATAAAATATGTAAATCTATTACCGAACGTTTAATAACATCAATATAAAGTATCAAGTTGTTTCATAATAACCATGTCAAAATATTTGATATGTTTTTTTTTGTTATTGAAACATTATTATTATTAGTTGTGTGTGTGTAAATGAATCACAGCAGTAGTGTTTTAGTAATTAGCCAACCTGCTCGACTATCCTCGCTAAAAATGTTTAAATTTACTTTTTTTAATATCAACATCAATGACTACTAAAATATTATGGTTATAATCCTTTAAGATATATTATATTGTAGTGGTAACAAATGTAAATTTCGGTTCAGAAACGTTTTAATCCCTGTCAAAAAGAAAAGCTCAATTAGAGATAAATAAGTACAATACATATATTATATAGTGCATACTATATAGAGCACACGAACTGATAAATAACTAGCAGACTTTAATACCCAAACGAACCCGAAGGACACAAGTTTAAATGACCATAATAAATAACGATATTACATGAATTGACCGGTAGACCGAATGCGGTACGATGCAGAGTTTATTTATTATGAAAACTCTACGAGAAATAAGGTCCGTGTCTGAAGCTTTAGTTAAACTGACATTTAATAGACATTTCTTGTACTACACCCCTGTAATGGTTTTCGGGAATTTTCAATAAAATAAAACACCTACACATGTAAGTAATTACCTTATATAGGGGTTTAAAAAAAAATTAACAGATAAATATTTAGTCCAGTTAAATCTAAATTTAAAAAATGTTGCTGGTTTTGAAACTAGACGTCTCAAAACTGTACCTAAGTAAAATGTACAAATCATTATTATTTATATAGATCAACGGCAGTAGCTAAAGGCAATCGCTGGTATCGTCACATATTGTAAGCCAAAACTGTAACAGTTGATGTTGACAGTGTTTTAAAGGGTATATATTATTGTATTTAAATATGAAAAAGGTATAGACTTTTATAACGACTGACGGTTATGCGATATGTAATTGCGTTGTTAGGAGAAGAAACCCATCAGAACAGACAATAAGGAGGGAAGGTCCTAACCCCATCACAACCCTTTTGTCCCGTGCAAACGCGCCCTTTTCCTCGTTCGTTATGCAAATGTTATTGCAGAAAAATAAATGCCCTTTTGGCGTTAATATTTATTCATGTTTTAAAGAATTTTTTTTAAATGTTTTTGAGGTTGTGTAGACTTAAATTGTCACTACTAAATATGAGAGTGTATGTGGTTTTTGTAGTTATAGAGTCTACACAAATAAATTTACCGAAAAATATAATATTTCTCAAGTGCAAACGATTTAACTTTCAGTTTCCAAATCCATGGAATTGAATGAGAGTAGATTGGAGTGGGTTGTTCATTACATAATTGATAGGTCACAACACCGCTACCGTTAGCCGCACAGTCCCATCCTCTGTTATTTTGTTTGAATAAACTGAGCATTACTTTTGTTGATTTATTTATTTGGTTCCTAGGAACCAACAACATGCGATATAAAACTTGTTAAATCTCTTAAGTTGGCTGTAAGAGGACTTAAAAACGCTAAAATAATATATATAGTATTTTTACAAAAGATGCAAAAATATTTCACCCATGTGTGTACATCAAATCATAATACAGGGAAACGCTAAATTTAAATCCCCCCCCCCTTTTATTAGAAAACCTGGAATTTCGAACATCTGGCTAAAACCTTGGTAAGCTAATAACACTACCATGTGCAAAATATCTTTTGTAACACTCAAAAGTCTAAGAAGATTACAGTGTTTTTTTCGGGGCTGTTCACGCCTTTACTACCATTAAATCAAACTAAAAGAGGTTTACATTTTTTTAATATCTTCCATTTCTCCTCAGCAATAATCGAAGAAAAAAAATAAGAATTTTTAGCAGTTGAGTCTCTCATAATAATTTTTAAGTATAAATGATATTATAAATGTGTTTTTATATTTTGTCGGGATTATTAGCTGTAAATGTATATAAATAAAATGATTCCATACTTAATTCTGTTCTCATTGTGAAAACTATTGTTTTTTAATTCATGCACATTATAATGATTGATGAAAAACGTTTAGTTTTATACTTTTTTGACAATTAACCGTGTAACGGAGTTTAAAAAATAAAAGTCATCATTTATCAAGTCCAAATACAATGTTCTAAAACCTTAATAAAAGTTACAATGCAAAGGAGTAGCTGGATTAGCGATTTCAGTTGTTGAATTTTTCCAAATGCGTCTTTGTCACAGCAGCAGCTTGTGATACTGTTTTTCAAAAAGAAATTAATAATAATAAAAAAACGTTTTTGTGTGTGCGACTGACTATAAAAAATAAGTAATATGGCTCAAGATAACGGATAAAGGCCAGTTGTAACCCTAAAGTGTCGTGCGGTGAACACTAAATAACTTAAAGTGGTTGTTTGGGAAAAAAAACAAACGGCTCTTCACTTAGGCTTTAAAATCAGACACGTAGCCAGGGGAATGGAGTCCATGGGTTTATGTAACAAATGTAAAAATGTAAGTATAAGAATCACACAATATGTCCCAAGTGTAAATTAACGTATTCTGTTGAACAAACATAAAATTAAAACAACGGAACAAGGTATTGGGGAGACAGACGGTTTGAGAGTAAAGCGGGTTTTAGGCAAAATACTTTGGGTTCAAGTGTAGTAATGAGGTAGTTTTAGAAGAAGCTAGAGCACCTGTTCCGGTTTTAAGACAATGCGGTAAATAAAGTAGAGAAATTCGAGTACCTGTTTGGGAGGAATTGAATAAGTAGAAGAAAACAATTGTATATAAATTCGTCGAGCTGTCTTGAACCGTGTTGCAATAGGATACGTTTCGTTAACTTGCAAGTTACATTTGAGTAGACACAGTGTTTATTTTATAAAATGCCAAGTAAACAACAAGTATTTACTGAATGTCTGGAATCAAATTTTACAAATTAGGAGTGTTCTAGAAAAATCTACATTACAGCTGAAGTCAGCATATTTTGTATGGAAAAAATGTAAAGTAAACGCATTTAGTTTAATTGTACGGTTGTTCATAAGTATACAGAAAAAGTTGGTTTTTGTTTGCGTTGGTCTGGACCCACGATATCTTCTAAGGCGCTGAACATGGATCAGCCTGAACATATAGATCAGAGACCGTACTTAAAAGATACTTTATTAGGGCAAAAATTTAAAGTGCACCACTCTCCCAATAAAGTTGAGAAACACTAAGCAAATGTACATATTTTTTAACCTATAATTACAGTCAACGGGTATTTGAAAATATTATTTATCTTAGATGAATTACACAGTATTATGCTAAACGAAACATTGTTCACAAATAAGAATACTATACATGATTGTCCAAGCCTATCCTTTTTATACTAAAGTTAACAACAACACGGGGGTTTGTATCTACTTTCTAAATAATCAAAGGGTTTCTATAACGTTCTCGTGATACATTGTTTTTGAAATAAAACACATAGACTAGGGAAAAGCCTATATAAACGCTCAGTCGCTGTTTCCTAAGGCCCGTTCTAACAATATGATGTAAGTATTGAAGAAATAAAATCAACAGTAAAAAGAATGAGAGAGAAAACTGAGTCGGAAAACGCACGGATCCATATAGGTAGTGTACACTTTGTGTACAGAAAGTGGGAAAAAAAACTAATTCTCTTTGTAATAAATACAATATAATATTATATATAATCGCAATATAGCTTAACCTTTAGTCGTACAATAGAAATAACACATACACCATCAGAAGAAGAAAGAAAGGTATCACACATAAGTATGTAAAAAAAACATTTTCTCTAGACAGGCTTTTATTATTTTATTTTCTTCGTAATAATAAACGTTTTTCTTTTATATTAAATAAATATCGTTGTAAGTTGTGTTACATATAAATTGAAAAACTGTCATCAAAGAAACAATAAGGCAAAATAAAACGCGTTCCACATTCAGAGTTTTTTTGTAATACTAATAAAACCGACAGAATAACATAAACTTTTAGAGTTGATGGATGGTCATTTTTAATACATATTAAATATTTTTTTATAATTTATTATATTTGTACGCCGTTGATGTTTCATGATTAGTTAAGACACCGTTTTTTTTTTAATTCTTATTTTCAAAACAATATACACAAACGACAGTTTATACAAAATGTATATATTATAATCCACATACTTTTGTGACGATATAAAAAAAAAAAGTAATTAAATTTTTTTTTTTTTGGTTGCAACCGAAAGACGCAATATGAATTCAAACAAATTATGACAAGGGTTGAAACTTGACAGAGATAAATTATCTGTGACTTTCAAAAAATAAAATAAAACAATAATACATCATATTGTTTTGAGACGCTTACAGCATTTGATTTGGACATATTACTATAATGTAAACTGCAATAACGGATTGCACAGTGCGACATTTGGCAAGCGTATTAAAATAGGAAATCAATTGGAATCGGTAGATTTATATTGATCTTTGCGGTGATATATACATGTAAAAAATATAAAAACAAAACGATATAAGTGTACTCTAATAGAAAAATTCCACGTGCGTCAAAGACCAATATGCTGTGAAAACAATTCAATTTCAAAAAGATAGCTAAACTTATAAGCTTCACCGTAACGTAATTGAGATTGAATGCAATGCATTCTAGGCACATACTTGCGTCGATAAATATTTAATTTAAGTAAATAACGAATATAACGCAGTAGTTTTAGTTATCAGGTAAAACAAATATGTAACTAATTGTTATTTAACGTTTAAATTATATCTTTTA